CTGAGGACTTCATCAGTGGTCTTTTTTTAAAAATAGTGAATTAAACTGCTTCATACTCCCAGGTGAACAGAACAGTTGTCATCTGTTTTTTTCATATTGTCCACTGCAACTCTTGGCTCAAGACAACACAATGAGTGCTGAGTTGTGCATTTTAAGATAAAATATGGCCCATTTAATGAAGTACTTTTAGACTTTTGTTTCTGTCTAAAAGTGTGGCGCTGGAGGAGACTCTTGAGAGTCCCCTGGACTGCAAAGAGAACAAACCTATCCATTTTGAAGGAAATCAGCCCTGAGTGCTCACTGGAAGGACAGATCCTGAAGCTGAGGCTCCAGTACTTTGGCCATCTCATGAGAAGAGAAGACTCCCTGGAAAAGCCCCTGATGTTGGGAAAGTGTGAAGGCAAGAGAAGAAGGGGACAACAGAGGACGAGATGGATGGACAGGGTCATTGAAGCGACCAACATGAATTTAACCAAACTCCGGGAGGCAGTGGAAGACAGGAGGGCCTGGCATGCTCTGGTCCATGGGGTCACAAAGAGTCAGACACAACTTAATGACTAAACAACAACAATGAAGCACTTAAAAACTTTTTTTTTTATTCAGCAGACTGATATGAAGACAGGTCAAACTTTCAAATGCTGCTGTATGAAACTGATGCAACATGGAATTAAGAGTGCTTAACTGTGCTGCCTGGAGCATTGTGGGAGATTTCCTAACCATGCCTTGGACACAGTTGTCAAGATATAACATTTTGTATGTATATGTATATTTTATATGTATAGAGTGCTAATGAAGGTGTGTGTGTGGAAAAAGTAGCCCTGGAAATGAAAGTGCTTTTAAAAATGAATTTTAATAGCAGTTTACTGAAAGTCACAGTGAAAGAATCAGGCTGCTTTCTAGCTGAGCTAAGGCCAAGGTCACTGTACAGTAATACTGCCTTGCACATGAATTACATTCATGGCTGACAGTTCAGTGTGGAAGTAGAGCAAAGAAGAACTGAAAGTATTGAAATGAATAGAATGCATTTATATTGCAATGTGTTAATAGGGCCAGATATGGTATTTGTAAGTCCTGTAACTTAAGACACACTGTAGCTACAGTATTCTGGTTTTATGATACCTTGGTGTACCAAAGTATATCTTTTACAGGCCCTTATTGCTCCTGGCTTTGAAAAATGTTAGTCATAACAATAATATTTATTGGCATGGTGGCAGCTTGCCAGATTCTGAGTTACAAGCCCTTGAAGTTACAGAAGGTGCAAGGATAATAGAAATTCGTTTTATAAAGTTTTTGTTTATGACCCAGGCCCTTGGATCTCCAGGCCTGGCAGAAAGGATTGTTGACAGATTGGGGAGAGATGTGGACAACTGTGAGAAATATAAATATAAGGAGACAGGAAACACACACACACAAACCAAAAACACAAGGAGGAGCATCACATCACAACTTAATGCTGCACATTACATACACAGATACTAACAATAGTCATGTAGCAGAAATGACAACTGACAAGGAAAACATGGATTTTCCTCCATATATTGAAAGTAGCCTGATTGGGTGAACACTGAGAATAATTTTCATGTATGTTTAGATATGCTAAAAGGTTAAGTAATATATTTTACTTTCATAGATATTAAATTTTAACAACTTTGATATTTTTAGAGATTCTTAAGTGTTTTTCTGCAGCTTAAGTTTAGCTTTGATGTTTTTTGAGCATTTGTACCTATATTTTTTCTTATACAGTAATTGTAAAAATGTTTTCAATGCATTTTGACTTGTTGCTTTTTGAAGTATTTTTGTGCCTGGAATTGTTGCTACAGTGAAAAGACCTATACCTTGATACTCAGATGAATTTTGGTATGATTGGAAATTATTCTCTGTTTTCATTCTGGAATTAACTCTTAACTAAGTGTCAGCTATGTCAAACACAGGCTTCTGATTCCCCCCCCCCAAGAGATTTATAAAGTTCTGTTGGGCTCTTGAAGAGATGTTGAGGTGTCAGAATCTCTGACCTGACACAATCTTGTCAAACAATTGATCTAATTCAGTACTGAGAGTTGGTGTGGTATAGCAGATATCAGCCAAAATCTCTGGACAACAGGGTTCAAAGCCCTGCTCAGCCTCACTGCCAGTGTTAAACCACTCCTTGACCATCTTACAGACCTCAAAAACCCAATTAGGGTTGCCACGACTCAGAAACAATTTGAGGGCACATAACAGGAACAACTCAGTATTGCCTATATTCATTTGACCGTACCTGGAAATACCTGGGCAGAACACGAGGACTTCCACATGCAAAACAAATGTTCTACTGTTGAGTCATCATGACACCTTGGTTCTTTTCTGCACTGTCCCATGGACTACCTGAAAACATTCTAGGAGTCTACAGTTTATTCCAAGTTTGACTGTATGGGCCACATTTTGTTAGAACAACAACAACAGCAACAAAGAATGTGTACGTGATAGCTAGCTATGGAAGAGCAACTGAGAATGCTCAGTAAGGTGTGCTCTGTTGCACTGCTAGAGAATACAGAATACGCTGTTCATCAAGGCATTAATCCCGGAGACCAATGGTTCTTTTCAGAAATCTGGTGTATTTCTCTAGGCTTGTGAAATAGGATTCACCAGTCAATTTACAAAGCTCCGGGCAGTTGCCTCTGAGAATTATCCTTCTCTTTCTCTCTCTCTCACTCTCTCCTCTCTCTTTTTTTTAAAACTGTACTTACATCCATCCTTTCTTCCCTTGAGCTCTTTAGGGGATAATTCTTGCTAGGGAGGGAAAAAATTAATTTCTTTTCATTTATATTTTAATGCAGTTCAGTATCCCAAAGTGACCTCTCTTTGGGGTTCCAGAGATCAGAGTACTTACTATAATCTTCCCAGGACTTTCTTATTACTAACTATCATTTATTGAAATAATAAAAAGTCCACATAACCAATTAGCAGGGCTGAAGGTGCAGGCATCAGAGAACCGGTCTGAAAGTCCAAGAATCACTTAGATTTTGAATGAAAGCGCATTTCTTTCTAGCCAGGAAGAAAGAACGTGGAAAGGGGCTTGGAAGCTGTATGTATCCAGTGAAGTTTCAGAAGCTAACAAGGTGCTGCAGAGAACTACTGTATATGTACATAATCAGAAGTAGTTTCAGAGCTCAGAGTGTTTTCAGTGGTCACAGATTATGCAGCACAGTCTTCCTTAGTGCAGCCTTGCAGCCGATTTGAACATTACCAAAGCAGTATGACTGAAGCTGAACAGTCGTCACGCATGCACATGTGCAAGTGCTTCCTGCATAATAAGTTCCCAGTGGCTTCAAGAGGAGGTGAAATACGGGGTCAGGAGGTACTTGTGCGATCTTTGTGTGTGTATGTATTATTGGGAGGGGCTCAGCCCCTGTAGAATAGGCAGTGCTTTAGCATGCCCCAAGAGCGCTAGGGTTACCATGTGGTTCTCTAGCTGTTGTTGGCCAGCAGCTCCCTTAAACTCTTGCCAGCATAGCCAAAGAATTAAGGATAATGGGAGTTGCAGTCTGATGTTGGGAGGGCTACACAATCCCTGTCCCTTCTGTATTTAAAAGGACGGAAGAAAGCAAGGAAGGGAGAAGGAAGGTATACACCTTGTTGAATGGGGCACATATCAAAAAGAGAATACGTACAGTACTTTGTTTCTCACAGATCAAACTGGCATTCAAACAGTGCCCCAAGAGGATCTAAAAGCAAATCTTCTTGCTGTTAGGGAATTGGTTGGGATTTTCTTCAGCTTTCCTCCCTGGGCAGAGCCAAGGGGAAACTAGAATGTAGAGCAAAAGTGAGGATGCTGGTTTATAGGAGAAGGCTACTTTCCCCAGCAAGTGTCCCTGAGGTTCTAAGGGTTTTGGAGCACTCGGGATATACTTGCAACCGTCTATTTAGCAGAGCTAAGCCACCCCCACCACCAGACTATGACTCTGTTTCATACTTCTGGTTACGTACAAAGTCGAAAAAGAGGTTTCGGGTGGCAGTTCTTTTGCTATGCCAGCCTAATAATGAAGCTTCAGGTATCATGGTGCATAAGCATATGGAAGCCATGCCAATGGACCAGGAAAAGAGCTGGCATGAGCGGTACTTTTTTCACCAGCTTGATCTGCAAAAATCAGTAGAAACTTTTCAACGGCATGAAGATCAATGCGACCATCTGCAAATGTCCACGGATCAAAGCTCTCTTAAAGGCACTTGAACAAGAGGGTAAGGAGAACACAAAGTAGATGCAAACATATAATTAAGAAAAATCCCCACAGCCAACGTTGACCTGACCCTTTGCTGTTCTACCAAGGACAGGCTGGTGGAAAATAGGAAATAAGCAGGGCCCATTTTGAAGATGGGACGTGAGATTCCATAAAGGAAGCCACAGCTTTGAGTTTACAAGTGAGCGAAACAGAGGACAGGACCTTCTGGAGTTCATTCATTCATAGGATCACCATAAATCAGAGGCAATTTGATGACACATAACAACAATGTTCTGATCTAACTCCACCATAGGTGCGTGTCTGCAGGATGCCCTCAGGGGTCAAGAAAGCTGCCTGATGTTGGGCAATGCTATATCAAGACAGATCCATCAAAACTGTTGCCTACCCTGATTTGCAGTAGCCCTCCAGAGTCTAAACAGTGCTACCTGATCCTTGTAATGAGTGATGTCAAGGACTGAACTTAGCATCTTTCTGCAGGTACAGCCTGTGGTCTCTCATTATGCAGCACAGTCCCTCTCACCCAATAACCAGAAATTACAGATGTTCTGCCCAGACAGTGCCATAGCAGCTAAAACTGATGCTACTGATTCTATTCTCCCCATCCCAAAGAACAGCAAGATCTTCCTTTTGTCTAAAAATAGTAGACACCTATAAAATACCTACATTCAATCCCATCAAAGCTGCAGGTGTTGCACATTTCTGTATGTGTGTGTTTTTAAATACTGCTGCTACCAAGAAAAGAAAAGAGAAAAGAAAAGAAGACATAATTGAAAACATGCAGCGAGTGCTATTTTTCCCTGGCAGTTTATTATGGTATGAAGGAAAAAACATTTTGGTGTGCTTGAAGTGGACGTTATCTTACAAATGGAGGATGATGTGGCTATTAAAATATGATTACACAAAGTATGAACAGTTTTGAAGAGGTTTACAGTACGATGGATTTCTTTTATAAACAGATTCTTAAATATACATGTGACAGAAAAAACATCCAAAGTTAAGCTATTTACGTTTATAGACATTTTCTCTGGGGGACAGGGAGAGAAAGGGGATGGGAAGTATCATATTAAAAACAGAGAAGAAAATATGAAATTTGTTCAGAACCAGGAACATATCACCTGTACACTATAAATATACATCACTGAGGTGGGCAAACCAGGAAAGGTTGGGTGGTTTTGTTTTCTTTTTTTTTAAAAAAAAAATTCCACTGAAAGACAACACCCAGCTTTATAGACTTGCGCGGTCTTTAGAATAGAACATTTTTGCACAAAAGCACAGTCTCCCTCTAATGCCTTCTTTATTCCACAGGTCAGCTCCCACATACAGACACATCATTGCTTGATGACCCTGATGGACTTGACCACTGGCAGCAGAATGCATGAACTGTCATGACCCACAAACGTTTTGTTTTGAGTCAGTTCAGCCCTCAGTGATGCACACTTCAGGGTCGTTTTGGCCTCTGGACACAGCAGTCTTGCAGGGCAGGGGGCTGCATTAGTCAGACTAGGAAAGGAAGTGGAGTCATCCACTGAATGATCCAGTTCGGGTAAAAGAAAGGATGGTGTCTATTAACAGTGGAATTCAGTGCCACAGGATGTAGTGGTGGCTTTAAAGGGGGATGAGAGACATTTCATGGCTATTCATCAGAGTGGCTACATATCCTGTCCAGGACCAGCAGTTGCTTCTTCTCAGTTGCTGGATGACCGTGAATCAGCAGATATCCTACTTGTCAGCAACTAGTGGGTTGTATTCTATGTGAAAGAGAACTTTGAATTACAGAGGCCTTTGGTACAGAGGCCCTGGTACTTCTTATCTTTTTACCCACTTGCCTCAAAAGTATAAGAAGCCAGCCCTGCCACATATCTTACACCACTTCTTTATCCTGCTTACGATGGCCCCAGCTAGTTCTGTTCTACCTGTCTAAAATTCTATCTGTGGCCCATTTACATTTGCAACTCATACTCGGATGCTGTAATCTAATGAGAGCGCTCATGGGAAGCAGACCTGCATCATCAACAGCAGAACGAGAGGCAAAAAGAGAATGGAAGGGGAGTCTGTGTCTTCTAACTTGCCCAGAAACGTGCTACAAGGAGCTAGTTTATAAAGCAATTTGCCTGGGTGACTCTCTGGACTTGATAGTGAAATGTTATTGCTGGCCAGTCAAAATGAGTTTTTCATTCAGTTTTTCTGTTGTATTAATATTTCCATTGGAGGAGTGGAAAGTGGGCAATATTACAGATCTTACTTCCTGGTTACTCTGTTTGCCAGGACACCCCTAATTCAGCTGTTATGTCAAAAACATAAAATATTTGATGTTGTAATACATAGTATTACTGCAACTAACAATAATATTTGCATATTTAGAACAATGTATAAGTCAATTCCTGTAACATAAGAAAAACAAAAAGTAGAGTAGCCTATAAGGTATTTACAAAGAGTTCAGCAAAGAAGTATAAATACTTCTATATTTAAGGTTTAGGAAAACGTATTTACAAAATATTCAAATATATACACAGCTGTCTGAAAAACCCAGGAAGGTAAAGAGTTAGTTAGAAGGGCAGGTTTATTTTTTATTTTATTTTTTTGACACTGAAAGAAAAGAAGAATTTTTTTTTTTACTTTTGGGGTGCGGGGTAAATGTTTCTTTTCGTTTCAAGTCCTGCACAAATTATTTACACATCCCTCTGCTTCACCGAAGAATTACACATGTCCAGAACTCTGAACATGCTGCCCCAAAATGTCATCGATCATTGTCAAATTATTTAACCAGTCTTCATCGGTGCTGCCACTGCTGCTGCCCTTCATAAGAGACTCAATAAAGTCAGCCTCGCTGCAGTTCCCGGGCAAAACAGAATTGCTTTGCTGGGTTACGAAGTCATACTGTGGCGGCAGCTCGTTCATTCTGCTGAATGCTCCCGACGGCTGGCTGGCAGCGCTGGGATAACTCGGTGGGCCAACGGCTTGAGCGGGGTTAAGTTGGTTAAAACCAGACACGCCTTGAGGCATGGATTTCATAACATTCATCGAAGCCGGCAAAGGTCCTCGGGTTAAATTGTGCCTCAGGTTCTGGTTATTCGGAGGGCCCAAGCTTTGGACAGGCGGTGCAAGGCTGACTTTTTGCATCTGTCTGGCTTGAACCCCAGGAGCGATCTGATTGGGCGGCACCGCGGCCTGATGGGAAAACGGCTGGCTGGGGATATTTGCCCTGGCGTTCTGTTTCGAGAAGAGAGGGTTACTGGAGAACTGCTGCATGCTGGCCTCCATTTGACTTTGATTTGGCATCCGAGGAACTCCCGTTGGCGTCCACATCTGAGCCGAGGAGCTGGAGTAGACGTTCGGAATTCTTGGCATAGCCGTCTGTCTCAAATGCTGCTGGGCAGAAGTATGATTCACTAAGGAACCACCAGCAAAACTGGACAGGGCCATGCTCGGCCGGGCTGCAGGATGGCTGTGGACGGTTTGACATCCTGCATTCATGCCAAGGGAGTTTTGACTGGGCCGTAGTGGGAGGTTGAAATCAGAATTGGATGGGAACATTCCTGGCTGTTTGCTGGAGTTGTGTGGAATCATCACCATGGGCCCACTGTTTTGGTTCACAGTGAGCCCAGAGCTCAAGGTGTTCTGCAAGATCCCCTGGGCAGACGGCATCATGCGGTGATTGGGGGGAGGCGTCTGCATGGACTGGCTGCAGTCAGTCGCCATCGGCTGGGAAACAGCTGTGTGGAAATAGCCAAGATTAAATTTGCAGAAGTGTGGACACTGGGGAGTGATGGGCCCTCCATTCATAAAACAGTGCATTGTCCCAATAAAACACATTTCTCCCTTGCTTTTGCTTTTAACCAGTACAAACAATAGGCTCAAGGTATTCCCCCCCCCTTCCTTTTCCCATCTAACTAATGCTCCAGACACAAAAGCCACAGAATTGCTTTAAAGCCAAACTGTGTGATCAGCAAAAATAACACAGTGCAGCTTCAGGCTCTTGGAGGGGTCTAGCGCCAAAACCCTGTATTTCAACGTTTCTGCTTCTAAGCAATTATTCCTTCACATCGTGTCAAGGGTTAGGCTAGGCTAGAACTCTTGTCCCCAATATCCCATGCTTCTTGTCATTTAGAAGGTGACATTCCACAGCTCACCTCTCTCTCTACTGACTTTCAAAGTTCTTTGTGGATTCTTTCTTCCTCTTTTCAAAGACGGTTGCCATTCCTGTTCCATAACTAATGAGTGAAATATTAATCCACTGCTTAGCATACAGCTGATTTCAGATATATAAATTCAAAATCTGAAACTAAGACTTTAGAGAACTTCATGTTTAAGAACACTTCAATTCTCATTTGAAAATTCAGAATCGTACAGATTCAATTCTGCTTCACTATACTCCATGTTGACAGAGTTGTAGAATCTACAGTTATGTGAACATGGCAAATGACAATGTGATTTCAGAGGCCTCTTCTTTTAACATAGAAGAGTCCATCTCAACTAATTTGTTAATCAAGGTCATGCTAGACTTGTGAGTAAGACAGAAAACATTCACTTCTTGTAAGTGTGTTGTTGAAATCCCCAAGTGAAGAACAGCATGCAAAAGGTCAAAAGTTTTGAGCTCATGTTTTCTTACTCCTTACCAGGAAATTGATTCATGGGTTGGCCCACAAATGGCCCTCTCTGTTCAGATGCCACTCCCATCATGCCATGCCTCTGTTTTTCCTAGGAAACAAGAGAAATAATGGTCATGTCAAATAAAATATCCTCCCCTTAATGGGTGACCAGCCACTGCCCACTTGAATGTTCCCAATGGTTAGGAATCAGGACATCCCCTGTGTAAGGGAGAAAGGATATAAAAAATGTGTTCCTTCTTATTTCCAGCTACTGATACCCCAAGGCATTGAACATTACTCTTACTGCTCTTTATTCCTCTCTTTTGCCTTCTTTGTCTCCAAAAAAGACAAAATATTAGAACTGATATACCAGCATTAACTAGCACTGGTTGGTGATTATGGCTGGGTTCTTCCCCTTAAGAGTGCTTAAGAAGCACTGCAATACATAAATCAAACTTAAACTGAATAGCAAACTCCAGTTTTCCGAGTGAAAACACTCAAGTGCAACAACTCATAGAGAACAGGGTTGTGTATATTTCATAAACCATAGTTTATCACAGTGAGCATGAACCTCAGTGAGGGAAAAGCTCAACATATCTGCTTCCCAACCTTAGGTAACCCAGGAATTCTTGGACTTCAACTCCCAGAAACTTGGGCAGTACAGCTAGTGATGAAGTCTTCTGGGAGCTGAAGTCCAACAACACCTGAGTTACCCAAGGTTGGGAACCACCGACCTGGAACAACATTCCGTGCCCAATGCCCACCTTCCAAAAGACCTGGACATCAACTTCCTCACTACTGGCCATATTAGCCAGCATTAAGGGGAATTGCAATCCAGCTGTGAAAGTACAAAGCTCCCTGGTCATTCTGAAATGATCATCAAGGTAGCCTTCCTTCCAGGCCATACCAAACTCACTGCCACACTCTAAGTCATTGTCCAGGAAGCAGCCTGCCTCTTAGCTCTGGACCCACAAGGGACATTAACATAAACATCCAACTCTTCAAACATATTAGACATGTTCAACGACGCTTTGCCACATCAGTTTCCTGTGACTGTAACTTCTTTTTCTCTTTCTGGACCATACAACCTCCACTTCTCCTTGGGCCTTTGGCCACCTCTGCCGCAACCTCTTTCTCTGAGCTCTGTCCCAGTATGGTCAATTATTAGAGCGAAAAAATATTTCACACACCAGGGCAGCCAGCAAGAGAAAGGGAGTTGGAGATTAAGTGGTACAAAGGATGGTGTCTATTGCAAGATCCATCGAGCTGCCGTAATAATCCGACATTTTTTTTCCACCACTGAATAATAGCACTAGAAGCTACTAGATTGTTTCTCATACACAATAAGAGACCAACCTGTAATTGCTGCTGCTGCTGCTGCCGTCTCATTATTTGCTGCTTTAGTATCTGATTCCTCATGGTGTAACCGTTCACCATGGTTTGGCCTGGAGCAGACACTGGACCTGAACTTGGGATGGCTCCTGGCTCTTGAAGTCTTGTACCAATCCCAGTGGTTTGGTCCTGAAAAGGAAAAAGAAAAAATAGATCTAGATTTCACTGGGCAGGCCACCAAACTTTAACCATGTACTGATAGAACGGCTGAGTTCTAATGCTGCACCAAAAGATGTTCTAGCTTGACAATTGGGTTCTGAACCATGATTGCTTAAGTCTGTTTATCTTTTATTTTTCTTCCTTGGTTGCATAATTAAGATTGGTCATTTCATCCCAACCCATAGCTAATCTTTCATCATCATGACAAACTAATGTCTTCGAACTGAGCACACAAGTTCCTAAAAGGCAGGAGAAGTGTTTCTTAAAGAAAACAGGACCAATACTTCAGAAAATCAAGCCAAAAAGACACCATTACACAACCTGGTTAACACTGGGATGGGAAACTTCCAGATGTGTGTGTGTGTGGGGGGGGGTCACACAGCCCACCCTCTGATCTTGGAAGGATGTTCCTACTTCTGTATGCACCCATCACACAGAAGAGATGACTTTATTAATAGTTTAACTTGAAAAAGCCTCCCCGCCCCGACACACAACTTCTAAGTGACTACAGAGAGTAATTTTGTGACGTTTTTGGCTGTTTCAGAGCCACACTCACAGCTAGGAGAGACTTTTATTTTTCAAAACCATAAATCCAGCTTTGAAAAAGAACATCCCCAGGACAACATACCAAGGTAGTGGTGCTTCAGTAAAGTGGAAAAAGAGATGACTACCCCATCCTCCCAGCTTGCACCTAGATATATATGTGGGTCAGTCATACCATTTCCAGTAATGTCTGCTAATACCTTTATTGACCCTTGCAAAGCTGAAGGAGTGCTTATTTTACTGAAAGCGTGCCTCTCTGGAAAATAAGGGAGGTGTGTGGTTCAAGATGAAAAGAGGAGAAACAAATTGTGCCCGGCATGTTCATGTTTGCCTAACCCAGGGCTGTCATGGGTTTTGAAAGGAAGGAAGGAAGTAATCTAAAACCCAAAATAGACAAGCTGTTCATCAGGCTACCGTCCACTGCTAAGTGGTATACAGAGCTTTGATGGCCAGAGTCACGCCAGACAGAAACCTAAAAGCTAGTCAACTTGTATCAGAGGGTGGGGAGATGATTTACTCTTGCTTGAAAGCTGCAAACCTCAATTTATGGCTCCTTCTTGAGGATGGAGGGAGTCCTTCTGATACATATCATTCACGGTGGAAGGAGGAAACACCAGGGTTTGCTGAATGGCTTGCTTGCCTGACTCTGTTTATTATTCTTTCTTCAGGAAGCAACAGCAGTTCATCATTATAAGAGCCCAGCCTTTCACCAAGAATCAGTGCAAGGCTGATTCCCCGAGGCGGAATGGTTGGGCATCTGACAGGGCCCCAAGACCTGGCAAAGTGGTTCATAGTACCAGCCTCACCACAAGCATGTGGTCTTTGCACAGGGTTTCAAGGGACTGAGTGAAAAAAAGTAGGTCTACCACTCTGCTTCTTCCAATGTAAGGGGATTCACTGATAGCCCTTCGTCAAAGCACCTCCTCCCTCCCCTAAAAATACAGAGTGAGGATGTGTCTAGAAATGAACAAGAATGACAATATAGAGAGTAGTCCAATGCAGGAGGAAACTATACTGTCTGCACCTTTACCAGCAACTGCCTCATAATCTAGTTCAGCCTCCAGTGCTATTTTACATTATTGATGACATTTTGTTATTATTGGCATGGGGGACTGTGTGCATTATATAGCCGGTGGAGTCGAAACTGGGCCACACTTCCTTTGTTTGGCAAATGGAAGCCGACATCCTTTGTTTGAGTGTCAATGTTATCAGCAGATAAGCAACCAAGTAAAGGGTAGGTGCCTTCTGACATCTGACAATTAAGATCATGCTGAAATGAAGAAAACAGGAAGCCAGCAAGGCAACTTTGGAGGGTAGTTTATGGAGAGCAAAGTGGAGTGGAAAGGGGATGGAGATGGGAAGGGCGGGAGACAAGAAAAGGAGGCAGGCTGCATCATGCAAATAAAACAACAACAACAACCCATCCCTGTCTCGTTCCGTGAACTTTTGCAGAGAGGGCTTGAAAGATGATGCTATGACCAAAGAATCAGTTTCCAAAGAAGTAGCAGTGTTAGTCTGTCCCAGCAGGCGCGGAAAAAGAAAGGTGAGAGGAGGGTCAAAGAAGGCAAAATATTGCAGCCCTTTAAAGACTAATAGCTTTGTTCCAGAGTGCATTTTTGTGGATCAAAACCCATTTATTCCGACATAAGGAGTGCAAATTGTACGTGTTCCCTATATGCCCATAGTGGTGAGAATGATGACAAGGGAAGATAGGAGATAGTAGACAAAGTGAGAATGGCTGGTTAACACAGGAATGGGACTATCAAGCGGTTAATTGGCAGATCCTAGACGTACTGTGCCCTCCCACCTTATTTTTGCCAACACTGACAGAGAGTCACAGAGACCTACTTTCCCTTCTTTTTGTTCCAGCAGTGGTCTAACATGTATGATTACAAGGCTACAATGCAAATACCTACAAGGCAGCTGACTGGAAGATGCCAATCTACATGTTGTGCCATATCGCATTAGCACTTTTGTTTGTGGAATATTTCAGGTGTGGGCATGGAACTACTAGCCTCTCGCTTCCCGTTCCTTCTCGTCTCCAAGAGATCAGAGCACCAATCCCCATTGTCGCAAAATGCAACGGGACCTCAAGTTTAGTCTTTACGTCTTGGATTCAAGAACTGTGCTAGAGATTGAGTTCTAGGGCCAGTGTGTCTTTTAGCACAAGAAATTTTAATCTGGCAAATAAAATAGTCACTTAGTGAATGGGTTGGCGAATACAATTAAAAAGTCTGAGCTCATCTCATCCCATCCTCTCTTCTCTGTTTCACTCTAGGCCAGCTCCACAGGAAAGACATAACTTTGGACATTTGCTTAGCCTCAAGACTTGAGAAAAGGTGGACTGTTTCATCAGTGTCGCTCAGCTGGAACAGAGGGCAAGAAGGTAGGGGGCAGGCTAAGTGTGTTGCTTCTTCCACGCTAATGGGGCACAACTGAAGGTGGCTTGCCCGAGTCCTCCTCTTAAATTACTCTAGATGGAAGAGTTTGCTTGAGGATTATACACCCTCTTTAAACATAAGATGTTCATCTGCAGCTCAGCTATGCATAAATACAGGCTGTCTACAGGGAAACAATTTTAAAGAGCAACGATTCAATTTACTTGCCTGCACTTGAAAGGCATTTGATGTGCCCATGCCAACTTTCCCCCAACCTGTCTGGCTATGTATGCGCTGAAGAAAACAGGTTTATCATGGGGATGATCATCAGGACTTTTTGCTGAAGGCAACTGTGTTAATGAAGCCCATTACGAAGGTGTGTTCTAACTGACAGAACACCAGCCTTGGCTCAATTTTGATTCTGTTTCATTTGGAACGTAACACTGATTTTCCCCACCCTCCCCATATTAGTTTGGGAAATTAAGTGTACAGCTCAGCACTAATTACAGCAATAAAATGGGTTTAATTAGTTAAAGGCGTTCTGTACATTGCCCCGCTCCAATAAAGGCAGCCGGATTCATTTGTTCGCAAAGATGCAGAGAGAAAAAAATGCAATGTTTCGGAGTGAAGTTTGATGCTGGAAAAGCTCCTTAAAATCCTAATGAGTGTGCCTCTTTGGGAGAAAAGTGATAATGCTTGGCACTCTGGAAAATTACAATCATGGTAAATTACAACAGAGTTCTTTATTTTCACCACTAGTGGGAACTACAGCATTCCCTTCCAGTAAGTAAAACATGCATGCAAATGTTAGCAACTAAGAATAGCTCTTGCACATGATCAAGGCAACCCTGTTATCTGCAAAAAGGTTAAGCACCATAAGTGGCAGAGCTGCGCGTGTGTGTTTTGCTCTTTTCATTCCTCCCAAGACACAAGGCAGTAACACCTTTGAACCGAGATAGTCTCCAATAAGAAAAGCCCTTAACTTGCAGCACCTTTGATTATCATTTTCTATCACTGAACCTAATTGGTGACCACTAATCAATTAGAAACATCACCACCCCTAAAATTATGCAAGCAATTTCACATGGAAAATGATTAGAAGGTACACTCTGAGCAGAATGTACTTGTTTACAAAGGTGCAACTCAGAGGTTTGCAGATGCAAATGTTGTATAAATGTCCTTAAGACATGAAGTTTGGGAGTTCTTCCTCCTCACCCTTTTTTAAGAATAGTTTAATTTAAAAAAAATAACACAAGATATCTGCAACATTTCCTTTTGCAAAGAACGCGTGAACATGAGCAGAGCCTGGTGGATCAGGCCAAGGGCCTATCTAGTCCAGCTTCCTGTATCTCAATGGGGCCTTCCTGTATCTTTCCTGATCTCCCTCCCCTGTATCTGGCATCTGGAGACACTGTCCTTTTAAGCCTGGAGATGATACATCCCCATCATGGCTTGTAACCTGCAAACAAAGTGAACAGACAAAGATAAGCAGCACCACTTGCGTACTGACAGTGTACAGTCAACATATAAGAGAACAGCAGAGTGAATTTGTTTCACAGTTTAAGATGTTCACGGGGAAGCCAGGGGACAGAATGCTTTCTTGGCATATACAATGAATACCAGGTTTCTGTAAAAATACCAAACACCCACACACACACTTTCCACTTGCTCCATAGTAAAAATTTTTTTTCTCTTCCCATAATTCATTATAAAACACATTAAATGAAATATTAATTAAAACAGAAAACTACAATGTCTGAAATAGCTTAGTTGCCCATCACATATGTTTTTGTATACGTTGTTCCTGTGTGTCAGTTTTTATTTGACCGGTCAATGTTAACAAGAAATATTATTATTCAAATACCTGAAATTCTGAGCAAATGCACGTGTCTTGAACGGGTTGACACAATCATGGCCTATCTGACAAAAAAGTCATAGCAGGTTGCTTTATTTCTGAGAGGTTTTGGAAAGCAGCTGGCACTGGGCTTTCTTAATTTTTTTGTAAATAAAGTGCAGAACAAAAGTATAGTCTGAATGTATAGACATTGG